TTCTGTGATTCTGTGATTCTGTGATCCTTCTGCTTTGAAAAGAGCTTTTAAGTGATTTGTTCTTCCAAATCCCTTGAGTAGCTGATAAAGGTGTTAGCCTGCATCCCTCGATATGGCTCCCTGTGCAGGACTGTTGGGGGCTTTGTGAGCTGAAGTCCTTCAGTATCTGTTCAATGAAACCTGGATGTTTAGTTGCATTCTGAAAATTACAGTTTGTGCTCTAAGAATTTGTTCCCTCCTAAATATTTGTGAATGCAGGGCTGCTAGGTTTACACCCGCAGGGATTTTATCTACATACCAGCGATAGAGCTGGGGAGCTACAGAGGCTTCCTCACTGGGGTCCTGCTGCTTCACCTCAGAGGCATCCAAAATTTCTGCAGTTCTTTCTTTTGCTACACAAGTAATAAATATACTAAAGTTTATTGAGGTAGTGGGAGATACACATGTGACATGGGAGATGTGATGTTCAGCAGATGTGTCAGGCTCTTACAGTGACCTAGTTACTGTCTCCCTGGTTTTTTTCATCCTCAAATAAAATGCATCAAAGCTTGCAAAGTTTAGGTTGCTTCTTGGTAATGTGAGCTCTGTAGGCAATTTAGGTGGTGTAGTTGCTCTTTTCTCTGATGTAAAAAGACTCCCTAATTATATTGATTTTTAAATTTTTTTTTTTTTGAGAGGGAGCTTGGAGTGAGTATTTGCTGTTTCCAAAAGTGCAGATTTGAATCCAGCAGTTAGTGGTGCCATGTTTAATTCTGACTCACTGTATCCAGTTGGGAATGACATCAGCCTCCAAGCATCCCCTGCTAAATGAATGTCTGGGTTTAATGTGTTCACGGGCCACAACATCCTTGTTACAATAATCATGGTTTGGACTGTGCACTATTAACAGTCTGCTCTGGGTTCTCAGTTTGAAGTTAAGACATTTGGGTCTAGATCTGAGTTATAGAACTTTTTTTTCCCTTTTTATTCTCCTCACTTTCTGTCTGAGGATGCAGACACCTCTCTCTAATCCTGTAATTCTCTATGATTTACTTCTTTGTTTCATCTTATAAAGGCCGCATCCGGGATTCTTTAGGACAGTTAAGTTCTGACAAACCTCGGGTACTTCCCTGTTACCATAATTTCTATTTGTGGTAAACTATTTCCCTTATATGCCCCAAGAATCTAGGGCACAGTGTGGAAAAAACCCAGCAAGATACGGGTGTAATGGCAGGTACTGTACTCGTGGGTATCAACAAAGCAGCAGAGAACGGGATACACAAGTATTGAGGTCCAAGCTGCTGCAGACAATACAGAATAGGTCATATCGTCCTCCAGCGACATTCCTGGAAAGTATTAATATTGACTTTAGCAAACAGAGATCTTTCATGGCAAGACACTGCAAACCATGGAAGAGAAAATGATACTGAAAGGTCCTGCTTTCCTAACCTTTCTCTTTTTTTTCTCCTTTTTCATACTATTTCTGTGTCTTGATGATGTTTATACACATGCTCAGTGTCAGTAGGTGTTAAAACGTCTTACTTACCACTTCCTTTCTAGTGGGGACACCTCCTATCACCTTGTACATAGTAAGTTCAGTTGTCAATGTGTGTCTTTGGAAAACTTGTTTTTCAGAATGGTTGTATTAATTTAATTTGTTGGAGTAAGGAGTATTTGACATAACTCTTTAAGAAACCTGCAAGCTGGGAGCATTTCTCTGTGGAAAAAAAAAGTGAAATGTGTCTTGTGTAGTGACTTTTCTAAGCAATTTTGCATATTAAAATGCATGATGTTGGCTGTTTGCGAGCTCGTACGCTAGAGCGCACTGTGTTTCACACTGAACCAGCACAGCCCTGGTGAGCACCTGAACACGGATTGAAAGTTTGAAAATCAATTTGAAATTGAACATCTGTGGTAAACAATACCAGACCAGGCGTGGAGGGCTTTGTGGATTCATCCAAAGGTTTGCATTTGGTACGAAATACCATCAAATTCTCCACTGACTTCCCTTGCTTTTCTGAGTTGACTCCAGGTACATCTATAGAAAGCAGCTGAATTGTCATGTGCTGTGGACAGATCTTCCTCATACAGAGCAAAACCACTGGGAGGAGTTGTTGAAATCGTGATAGAATTTTCTTTATCTTGCATTGGGTAGAAAGGTAGCAATGGCACGTCAGGCCTGAGGGGCATTCTGCTACAAAAGCCTTCATTTTGGGGAATGGTGATAGGGAGCAAAGCCTCTATGCTTTGTTTAGTAAGTTTGTGGTATTTGCTTCACATCTGTACATGGTTCAATAGTCCCTGGTTTTACTAACACTGGGTACGTGACTGTAAGAAATATTCAGTGAAGGAAAAAGGTTTTGTCTGTGTCAAGTTTTTACTTTCTTTTTCCTTCTTCCAGTATTGTTCGTCTACTTTCATACCTCAACAAACACAGTGCCTTTTCTTAGGTTAATGATTGTCAGCATTTGTTCAAAATGCGGCATGAAAGTTTAACTTTGCAGTTTCGTCTACATTGGTGGCTAATAACATGGATCTCTTGAGATACACAGTATTTCATTCTGTGAATTGGTACATAATAACATTTTTACAACGGCTTGTTAAATAAAATAACCTTTTATCTGTACTAGTAATTCCCTTCTCATGCTTTTTTGTTTGTCTTCATGCCTGTCAGCACTGTTTATCTTCCACCTTTCTGGCACAGTGTTTACTTCTACAGTGATGTGATCATGGTATTTCGACTTATTTTTGTTTATTAATGCGATTTGTTGGCTTTCATACTATCAGCCCACCTTCCCCCCAGTTAGCGTGTCTCAGTGTCATTCTTTTCCTTCCAGGTTCGTATGATGAAAGACAGTGATCCAGCCTGGAAGCCCACTTTTATTGTCAAACCTGATGGAGGGTGCCAGGGGGATGGGATCTACCTCATTAAGGACCCAAGTGACATCAGGCTGACAGGGAGCATCCAGAGCCGGCCAGCCGTGGTCCAGGAATATATTTGCAAGCCGCTACTTGTTGACAAACTGAAATTTGATATTCGTCTTTATGTCTTACTGAAATCTTTAGAACCCTTAGAGATTTATATAGCCAAAGATGGACTTTCTAGGTTTTGTACAGAGCCCTATCAAGAACCCACTCTAAAAAATTTGCACCAGGTTTTTATGCACTTAACCAATTATTCACTAAATGTTCATAGCGGGAATTTCATCCATTCTGACAGTGTGAACACTGGCAGCAAGAGGACTTTTTCAAGCATTCTGTGCAGACTGTCTTCCAGAGGAGCTGATGTCAAAAAGCTGTGGTCAGATATAATTTCCCTGGTGATTAAAACCATTATTGCACTGACACCAGAACTGAAAGTTTATTATCAGTCGGACATACCAGCAGGAAAGCCTGGGCCAACTTGCTTCCAGGTAGGTTGGAATTTCTGCCAGGAATGCAGTGATTTCTATGCATGGATTAATTTCCTGGATGTTTAATTCTGTTTCTAAAAACTTTCTCTAGTTATGTTTCTGATTGCTGGTTGGCTGTAGTGCATCCACTGTATACCACTGCTTGAGCTCAGGGTTTAGGTTCTCCTCACCCAAATCTCAGTCTCCTGACCTATGCTACTACTGGTTGTACACATGTACGGAGTAACACGTTGCTTCTTATGCACAGATTTTAGGGTTTGACATTCTCCTGATGAAAAACTTGAAGCCCATGTTGCTAGAAGTAAATGCAAACCCCAGCATGAGAATAGAGCATGAGCAAGAGGTAAGGCCTCTCAATATCATGGTGATATCGGGATGAAATTGGTTAAGTTTGGGTTTCTGGTCTTTTTTCCTTGTTTGAAAGATGAAAGCTGTCTGCTAATATGAAACCTCCAAGGTTCTCTGTAATTTTCTGCTTTGAAATTATTGCTAAACTTATACGCTGGCAATGTGACTTATTGGAATTGTGAAAGCTCTCCATCATTGTCATAAATACATTTATTCATCCTCCCCTGCAGTTGACTTAATTGTGTTTAGGGGATTGCTAATATTTTGTTCTTCATGTCTATATACATAATGTAAACGGTAACATTGGCAACAATCTTTCTTTTTAATATGTCAATTTATGAGAAACACTCGCCAAAAATTGTTGTAATATCATACTGAAAATGTTGAAGAACTTGTATATTCGTTAAGAAGTCTTTTGTAATCTGTTACTGTGTATTTAAAACATATGACATGCGTGAAGTTTGAGCAAATGTGAATAAATTATCCTTAGTTCTATACTGAGCAATCGTATCCCTTTGTAATTTAAGCTTTCTCCTGGAGTATTTGAAAACGTCCCAAGCCCTGTTGATGAAGAAGTGAAGGTGGCTGTTATCAGAGATACGCTTCGTCTGGTGGACCCTCAGAAAAAAAAGAGAAAGGACACTCAGTAAGTGTATTGACTTTCTTCATTTTTTTGCATCAGCACCTTGCAAATAATTATAAAAGTGAAATGTTTTTTTCCCCAAAAAATGTTAGTTTATCCAGAACAGTGGTTCCCATTGTCTGGTGCAAGTGCTCTGGCTCAAGGAATTGAAGAGGTCTGCAAACTGTTAGTAGTAAATCAAGGTTTTCCAGTTTCCCTGCAATATCTCACCATTTATTCAGAACTGGTACAAACAATTCAGTAACTCACATTTTTTTATTTGTACTTTTAATTGAGGCCTCCAATTTTATTCCACACAGTCATGAGATGTAAATTTGTGTATTAATTTGCTTGAAAGTGACCAACTGTTCTGAATGAATTGCTCCATTGGAGTTGAGTAGGACGAATATTGTATTTAGAAATTGCTTCCTTGGTCTGTGATAAGAAACAGAGTTAAATCTGTGATCTAGAAATGAGGGGAACTGCCTGAAGCAGCTTGTGCAAAAAAGCGTGTGGTGGGATCAGGCTGAGAGGGAATAACTTTTTTTGATGGAACACCTTGTTTGAAGCGTTTTCTTGGAGACATGAAAGGGAGATTATTTTTTCTTTCTTGTCCCTAAAAGTTCTTGTTTATAGGCCTACCTCCGTACTGGAATATAGGTTTTGTTCTTCTCTTGGCACTCAGTGTTATTAATGTTCTATAATGATTTCCAGTGCAAGTATTGTGTCATTTTGTAGACAGAGTCCCATGAACAAGACATGACTGATAATCCTTACACGTTCTGTGTTATTGTAATATTATTGTAAGATCAAACTATTCTTTTAGAGGCAGTGCCACACACAGAGGTTGCAGTGGTCAGTAGACAGAGTGTCTTGCAAAGCAACCTGTACTGTCTGTTGCCTGTACTTAACCTTCACCCTTTCAGCATGGAGCTGAAAACAGAGCGTTTTTTAACCTGTAACTATGTAACTAGTTATGGTTTATCTTATACTGAAGTTATGTCACGCATTCATTAACTACGTATTAGATATGGAAAAAAGGCAAATGATAATTAGAAATAAATTAATGGAAAATGCTGGCGTGTGGGGAACTCATCCAACTGAGGATTCTTCTCTGCTGCATTTTGAGTACTAAATAGTTTTTAACAGGATTAGTTGGTGATGAGATAAACTATTGACTTTTCACAGCAAGAATTCATCAGTGATGCAGGGTTTTTTTCAGGATAATCTTGTTAACAGAGCATCTTGTAGAGGCACCTATGTGCCTTCCCGTTTCTTGCTGCAAATGGCAATATCCCATTAACTTTTTGTGTGGATATACAGAACTCATGTGTGCCAACTGCCTGTCCGTTCAGCTGAGATTTGCCCTTCTCCTTCCAAGTACTTTTTATTGAACTGGGCATGGTGTGTGGAGCTTGAGAGAGACATAGTCTTAATGTAAGCATCGGGTAAAGGACCTCACCTTGGTCACCTCTGGAGATTTGCATCCACGTAGAAGCAGTTGAGAGAGGAACTGAGCACTTTTTTTGCACTAGCTTTGGTTCTTAGACTGGCCCTATTTTCCTTAAGCATCCTCAATTTGGAACTCAAGTTTCACTGATAATGAAGAAATTAAAACACTTAATAAAATTATATGGAAGATGCTAACTCTTTGCTTTTGTTTGTGTGGCAGTACTGTTCCCATGGATTTTAAGGCTTGAGTAGATCATTGCAGGGATCCAGGCTGATGAAATGCTGCAGCAAACACCATCATTTACAGCTGAGCTGTTTTCTTGGAAAGGCAGAATTTTAAACTCCTCTGTAAATCTGATAAATGCCATCAAACAAGGCTTGCTTTCTTCTAGCATGACTACAGAGTGAATTGAGGGGGTAGCGATGGCCAGAAATCTTGATTTCTGTTCTGAACATTTGCCACTGCTAATTTCACAGCTATTGTGGTGGTTTTTCCAGCTTACGCTCAGTGAAGACCTTTAGTACCAGATCAGCCAGCTGATCACTGTGTCGTCAGAACAGGGCTTCCCTCCTGGAGTGAGAAATCCAATGTAAAAAAAGATGGTGAAAAACAGGGGGTTTTACTTAATGTACTCAAAGCATCATGTAAAGCAGAGGAGGACTGGGAAGTGATCACAATACATGTTTTTATCCAAGTTTGTAATAGGTAAAAAGGTCAGAAAGCTTGGTCTGCACCAACTTAATCCTTGCCATGTAGTAGTTAAGGTAAGGAGTTGGGCTGTGCTCTGTGATGTTTCTACAAAGAAAGTTGTATAAAGCTTGTACGGTAGTAAACTTACTCTGGACTTACTTCTTGCAACAGAGATGCTGTTCACTGAAGGTGGGAGAAGACTTCAGCTCAAGGAAATTTGCACAATTAAATGGATGGTCTAATGACACTGAACAGCATTTAAAGTAAATCAACGTTACTTATGTACACAGCGGTTTAATTAAGATAATCACTGATGCAAATCATTGTTTATGTTGCCACTCCAGCAGAAAATCCATTCTAAAAGGCTTTGCAGCCTTCTGCTTTCTTATGCCTAATTTTGAATCTTTGTAATAGTCAAATGTTTTAGTTTCAGTGTTGGTTTAGTTATTAGCAATTTATTCTTTTCAAAACTGCATTAGATTTGAGGAGCAAAAAGGGCTTTTGGTCTTGTATGCAGATATTGTGTATTCTCCACTGGATGTCAGAGATAAACTCTTGACTGGTGGGATAATTGCAAGCCGTGAGTATCACTTGCTGTGGGTCTGCTCTAAATGTCTCAGGAAGATCATTTCTATCATCTCACCAGTGCTAATGACCTGCTGTCCTGTCCTGCCAAAAGTATTTGGTTATTAATGCTAATTAATAGCCCTAGTTTATTAATGCTAATTAATCCAGCGATAAGAAGAGACTCCTTTATATTCTTGTCGCTGTTTATTCTCTATCCTAGTAGGATCTGTTGCATTTACATGCCTGGTTTCTTACAAATATCAAGACAGAAAATAAGCATTTTATTCTTTGGACAAAGAAAGCATAGTGTTGTGACATGTTTGTCATTAGAAATAAGAGTTGCTCATGAAAAAAAATCAGCTTTTTACTTTCTAGAGGTGATGAAGGTGGAGCTCCCTAAGTAACATAATGACTTTTATTCAGCACTGGAATAGCCATTGACAGAAGAAAGAATTGAACCACTTTGGAAAGGAAATGTAATTTAATCTGTGGCTGTTAGAAAAACAATCAATTCACTGTGCCCACAGAAATGAGTGCTGTTGTTTTGTTACCCGTTATGGTATTGCTGTTTCATCGCCAGTTTATCTTTCTCGAGTGCTATTCTCTGTGCATACCACTGCAGCGTTTTTCTGTTGGAATTCAGCCTTGAAATTTATTTGTGATGTTCTGATTATTTTTTTCTTCTTTTTAAAAAATGTCAGGTATGATTCTCTTCTCTGGACTCTGTGGCTGTAGCAAATGTCAGAAATGATTCACTGATTTTCTGAGCAGGAGGAGCCCCAGTGTGGTCTCTCCAATTTTTGCAAGGTCAGCATGCAAACACTGGCTAATGTCACTGTTCAGAGAGCACCCTGTAAATATTAATGTGTGTCACTCTGACTTTTTATCTCGACGTGCTGTGTAGGTAGGGAGAAATTCCAGTCAAGGTTTTGTAGAACTTGCTGCACAAAAGATCTTACTCTTTTCTTGCACAAAAGAACACGGTTCGTTTTTTCTGCTGCGTGGATTACACAGTTTTCTCACTTTACATGATTCATTTCTCTGATACAGGACAAAATTAATAGTTCTAGGAGGAGACTGTGTAGTCGGTATTAAATGAAAGCATGAATTAATTTCTGGACATTCTAGTCATGTACTTTTCACCTTAGATGTAACTTTATATTAAAGTGGGAGCTGCTTTAGGTGATGTCTCATGCTGTGCTGGTGACCGATGGGTCTGACCTTGTCTGCTGCAAGAGAAACGTGGGTCTTTACTTACACAGGCCTCTCCATCATGTTTCTCTCCTGTATTGTTCAAAGACGTTTCCCAAATCCTAATACTATTCTTAATTTCTCGATATTGAGGAGAAATTTTGTACTTCCTTAAAGAAGAAAAAAAAGTCAGTACATCACCCATGTGTCTATATTTCATTTATTTTCCAGATATTTTTTATTCAGTTTCATAACCTTACCTGATGTTTGTGTCATGATTAATGGAGATTTGAAAATATACTGTGGAAAGCTGTCTCAAGAGTATGGTGATCCTAGATTTCGATGACGATAAAGTCATTCTTGCCATTGATGACTGTGTTTATCTCACTGTACACATCCTAAGGTTATGATTGTGTGACAAGGCTGGGATAAAAAGGTCAGAAATTCAGTGCGCAAGCATACAGAGAGACTGAATGGGAGAATATTGGTGGTGTAGCTACTACTGGTCAGAAAATAATGACTGTTCTTCCTTCTTCTTGTACTGTTATTGTAGTTTCTGCTTCTGTGAGTAACTCTATTTTGTTCCGCAGGAATTCATTACTCAGGGTTGTCGGTGCCTTCTGCTTTATATGGGGTGAGTTTAGTTCTTGTTAAAACAAGCACGTAATAAATCTAGCTGTGGTGGTATCAGCATTTTGGTTTCCATTTGCTAATTGAGTTGACTGCTAGGAGCTGTGTGTTGATTGCTGGATCTCTCTGCTATCACTTGGAAGTCTGGTCAGGTTTTCAGCTATTCAAGTGCTTCTCAAGCACCACCTCTTCACTCCAAGCCTTATCTATGTGTACACTCCTATGTGGGGCTTTCTTGAGATTGATCTTGCTACTCTGCTTCATTTTGGAGGCTGACACAACTTTGTTCTCCATCAGTCAAAATGATCCAGCATTCCTATGCAGTATTATTCTGCCAAAGCCCTTTGCAAGTACATTGAAATAGACCCTTTCTCTTTCCTAGAGGGCTTTTGGGTTTATTCCTTCAGCAGGTAATCTGCCACCTTTGGTGTCAATTCTTGTCCGTTACATTAGCCTATGCGGCTTTTGATGAGCGAGACACGTGAGGGAGAAT